AAGGATATGATGACTGCTTTTGTCACGGAACTTGCTATACCCAAATAAGCTATTGTGTTAATGCCATGTGATGAATAACCATTTATGATTTTCCTGAGGCCTCTCTTGTCAGACTGTTTAATGCCTGACTTGGCCTCATTTCTCTGCATGACTTCTTCATTTCTGTTTATAAATTTGTATGCACAAGTTCAATATCTGAACAATCCTTGTGCACTGTAACTTTCTTTTTTTAATAAGTTTTTTATTGTGAAAATACTGTACAGAGAGATTACAGTTACATGAGCAGGGTAATGAGTACATTTCTTATCAACCATTGTTGCCTCCTCCTTTGATTTTCCCCTAATGTCCCTTTCTTCCCACCTCCATCCACAACTACATTCCCCCCTCGCCCACCCCCACCCCCGCACCCTGCCTAAATTGTAAAGTTCATTTTTCAACATAGTGTCTTGTACATCTCATTGTTACATTGGGTCCACCTGTATCCCTACTTAAACATTTTGTTTTTTCCCTTCCCCTCCCCAAATTTGACCGACATCAAATATAGTGAAAGCAGGGGTTATACTGTGGGGGAGGAACATACAAAGCAACAAAAAAAATCACATGGTACTTATGCTTTGGAAATTTGTTTTAGATTTGTTCTCTCAGGCTTTTATGTCCACTCCACCTAAGAACCTGAGATGTGTTCCAGGGCTTTACCAATAGACATCTTGCTACAGATGTCACCCCATACATTACATTAGACTTGTGTCTTTCCTTGGTTTAGTTTGTTGGGTCTAGCAGTTACTATTTTTACTCCTGACTCCTTTGATACATGATACTTCCAGTTTCCCCAGGACTACAGTTGAACAATACTTTACAAGCATGTTTTGTGTCAGAATAACAATATAAAAATCTGTCTGGGGACTAGTCTCTGAGTAGTGAGTAAGATATAAAGCTACAGGATTCCAGGAATCTCAGACTATCTCACCCTCCTGAAAACTCACCACCATTTCCTTATGTGATTCGAGGAGAACTAGTTTCATATCATTGCCTCCCTGCTACTCAGCTTTCTCTTTTCTTCCCTTCCTTATCTTTCCTTCCCTTGCCAAACTCTTTTCCTTCTTCTACTTCCACTTCCCTTCCCTTCCCTTTCTCTTCTTTTCCCTTCCCTATGATCTATGGAGTAGACCTTAATCTCCCTATCTTTATGCTTTCTTTACTAACCCCTCAAAAATCTCTTTTGTATTACTAGTCTACAGTTTTCTCACATTTTGACTAAAATAAAACAGTCATCATTCATTTATCTATACTGAGCTAGAAAGAGGTTTGGCTGCTTCTATTGCAATAATTTTTCCCGCCATCCCTGGTTTCCCTATATCCTAGTGTGTGGCTCTGTGGCCTGACAAATATCACATCTTGGAGATAATGTGATAAATGGGACTTCCAATGTATATTTGGTTAAAAGCCACTTACCCTTTTATCTCAGCACTAACCTCCCAGGCCATTCATTCTCCTGCTACATTGTACGTGCACAGAAAGCCTCGTAACAGCTTCTTAATTGAATTTCTGGAAGCTAATCAACATTCTTTGGTATAATCAGACTCATTGTGCTACCCTTCCTATGGAAAAATGTCAACTTTACCTGATTACAAAAGATAGAAGAACAATGAAAAAATTAATTTGTAGGTATTTTTTTTAAAGAAATGATTTATGCAACAGTTAGGATCCTGTAAGGGAGGGGAAATGCATGCCCTTTTAAAATTTCTCATTTTGAACTTTATTGAAATGATGTCAGAAATGAGAGAGGGGAGAATAGTGGAGAAAAAAGGTATCTTTCTTTCTGAGATGAGAAGTTTGATATAAGTTTTACAGGTTAAGAGGAAGATTTCTATACTCTCTGGAAAAAATTCTAATAACAAAAGGCTGATCTTCATCAGCACTAGCCATTTTACTATAACTTAATCTTTAAATCTGTAGAACCACTGCAGCATTCTCCAAATAATAAATTATTTACATATGTTTTCAATACCTGTATAGCTTTATGCATAGGCATACATCAATTATTACATCATAGTCATTAAGCTACCTAGAAAATGTAGCAAACATCTTCTATATCCCATTTCTAAATTGATTTTCTGGAAAAAATGGTCCTTCAGGCCAGCTGATATTTAATTGTATGTCACTCCATTGCTCTTTGAAGAGGCTGAGCATTATTGACTTATTTAGAACATCATTTCTCTGGTTTACCTAATAAATCACCATGTGCATAAGTAATGTAAGTGGATTATAAGAAACAGTATAGCAATTATGGTTGCAAGCTAGATCCTGAGAGGTTAGATAACACTAATGTAGCAAAATCATTTATTGCTTCTGCATGACCATTGTTCAAAAGAAAAAGAACATCATTAATCTCCAAACCACAAATAGGTTAGAAGTAAAATAGCCAAGAGATCCTCATTTATACCTTTTACATTCATAATATTAAATTAACTAAACAGTACAAGATAGAAGGAACCTCTTGAGCTGTAATTCCCAGTGACTTTAGGAGTTGATGAATATGAATATGGGTATATGATGATCACTAGTGAAAATATCTCCCGTGAGTCTTAGCATTAACACTGGCCTATACAGATATAGAAATATCATTAATACCATCCATCTTCACTGAATAGACAAAGTACATGGCTTTTACCTTCAGAATATCTGCTACTCATGAAATGAAAAAATCAATACTAAAACCAAAACCAAAGAAATAAAATACGCTCATGTTTTTCAAGAAACCAAACAACCTACATATTCTCTTTTAACAAAAAATTCATATTATGTTCTCAATTTATGATTTTTCTGATTTGTTATTTTAATTATCAGCATACCTCCAGATATTTCTTAAGTAAAACCAGAGACTGTATTCCAATTGTTTCTATTCTCACATATTCCAAGCAAAAACTGAATCAAATAAATGTTAGTTGAAAACATCAATGAATGGATCTTTGGTTTTCAATACTGAATGAAGGATACTATATATAGTAAAAGGGGTACATTTAATTTAATTACATGTGATACATAGAGAAACTCTCCAAAATGCAAACCTAGCTTCATTGACATATATTGGCCTCAAAAGTAAGCTCATCTAATTGTATTTTGGGACAAAAAAATCAGTATCATTTTGATATTGATTTATAGGGGTTTTAGTTATGGATCTCCCTTCCTTCCTTCCTTCCTTCCTTCTTTCCTTCCCTTCTTCCTTCCTTCCTTCCTTCCTTCCTTCCTTCCTTCCTTCCTTTCTTCCTTCCTTCCTTCCTTCCTTCCTTCCTTCCTTCCTTTCTTCCTTCCTTCCTTCCTTCCTTCCTTCCTTCCTTCCTTCCTTCCTTCCTTCCTTCCTTCTTTCCTTCCTTCCTCTCTCTCTCTCTCTCTCTCTCTCTCTCTCTCTGTCTCTCTCTCTCTGTCTCTCTCTCTCTCATATGCTGGGGGTTGAAATCAGGGGCTAGTACTTGCTAGGCAGGCACTCTACCTCTTGAACCAAACCATCAACTCTCTTTGATTTACTTTTTTTAAATAGGGTTCCACCTTTGTACCTGGACAGGTGTAGACTATAATACTCCTATACATATCTCTACAGCTAACTGAATACCACCACACCCAGCTTATTAGTTGAGATAATATTTTGCTAATTTTGCTTGCCCAGGCTGGCTTCCGACCAAAATGTCTGGATTTCTCCACTTAGGCACCTAGAATTACAGCTGTGAGCCACTGGCTTTATAGTTTTCACTTTAAAAAATTAACTGATACATGAAAATTCCACATATGGGTTAAAATGTAATGTTTCAATTCATATATATGTTGTGTAATGATCAACTGATTAGTAGTTTTTGTGGTTTATACCATTATGAGAAGAACCATAATACAAACAGGGTGTCAACTATGGCGCCCCTGCTGAATTACCACTCTAAGAATATAAACAGCAGGGTACAAGTGTCTGATGCCTGTAATCCTAGATACTCAGAAAGCTGAGATTTGAAGATTGTGGTTTGAAGCCAGCCTGAGCAAGGAAGTCAGTCTGAGTCTTATCTCCAATTAACTAGAAGTAGAGCTGTGTCTCCAGTGGTAGACTGCTGGTCTTGAGCAATAATAATAATAATGATAATATCTGGGGCTGGGAATGTGACTTAGTGGTAGAGTGCTTGTCTGGCATGCATGAAGCCCTGGGTTCCATTCCTCAGTAACACATAGCAGAAAAAGCCAGAAGTGGTGCTGTAGCTCAAGTGGTAGAATACTAGCCTTAAGCAAAAGAAGCTCAGAAGACAGTGCCCAGGCCCTGAGTTCAAGCCTTGGGACTGGAAAAGAAATAATAGTAATATCAGGGCTAGCATCCAGGCCCTGAATTCAAGCCACAAGACCAGCACACACACACGCACACACACACACACACACACACACACACACACACACACACACAGAGAGAGAACATAAACAATAGGATCTTTGTACCATCTTGATTAATGTAGCACCTTGTGTTTATCCACTGATGTTAAGAATATTATTTATCAATTATTTTCAAGCCATACTACTCTCTAAACCAAACTACTCTCCACCTCCCACAACTCTCCTTTCAATGGTTTCTTCATTCACTATGATTTGAGTCAAAGAACTAGAGAATCCATAGAAAGTGCTATTTATCTACACCAGCTGACACGGATGCCTATCTTTTTAAAACACATTGTACAGAAGGTGGGAGATTCAGTATAACCCAGGACCTGCTACAAGTGTAACAAGTAAATTATAATTCAAATTCTTATTAAGCACCTACCATGCACCATGGATATGGACAAGTTTTCTGAGTTTACTGGAGGAAGGAAACAGACAACCATTAAGTAACAAAGAAGAAATATCAGAGAGTGAGAGGTGCTATGATAAATAGCCATGGAGATCCAATAGTAAATATGTAGAGTTAGTTACTTGTTTCTTTCTAACATCAACTACATTAATGTTTAGCATCAGCACCTATTAAAAGTGACACTTACCACCACAATCACATTTGCTGCTGGGATTGGAAGATTTTCCACTTCAAGTTCTTGCCCTGTCATAGCCAACAGATTAAGAGATGGGTCACCGGCAGATCTGGGAAATGCTGAGTTGGCAATCTGGTGACGTTTGCTTATGTCAGCTTCAGAAGAGAAATGGTACCTATGCTTATTTATCTTTTGTGGATGGATATCCAGGCTCTTCTTAATATCTTGTGAACGGTGATAAATGAATAGTGGCTTGCCACTCTGCTTCTGAGGAATTGCCAAAAAGTGATCATTATTTCCTGAAAAGCACCCTGAAAGACATAAGACATGAAGAAAAATCAAAGATCCAATTCAGTAATGCCTGTGGAAAATCTGATAAGCAAATTATTCTCTCTTGGGAGGATTGAAGACTTGAAGGATTGAGGGCATTTACTATTCATTCTCCTCTTTCCTGCTTTGTCATCCCCAGTAAAGAGAGAACACTAAGGCATTTCAGGCTTTTTAGGTGTCGGTATAGTTTGGAAAACTATTTATCAGTCATTCTAATACCTATTTTATTAAAAAAAATTTTGGGGGGGGAGGTCTGGTCGTGGGGCCTGAACTCTGGGCCTGGGCGCTGTCCCTCAGCTCTTCAGCTCAAGGCTAGCGCGCTACCACTTGAGCCACAGTGCTACTTCCGGCTTTTTTTTTTTTTTTTTTTTGCTTATGTGGTGCTGAGGAATCGAACCCAGGGCCTCAGGCATGCAAGGCAAGCGCTCTACCACTGAGCCACCTTCCCAGCCCCTATTTTTTAAATTTTTATTTACTTATTTTGTCAGTCATGGGGCCTGAACTCTGGGCCTGGGTGCTCTTCCTCAGCTCTTCAGCTCAAGGCTAGCACTCTACCACTTGAGCCACAGTACCACTTCCAGCATATTCTGCTTATGTGGTGCTGAGGAATCGAACCCAGGGCCTCAGGCATGCAAGGCAAGCGCTCTACCACTGAGCCACCTTCCCAGCCCTAATACCTATTTTATGAAGGAATTTCTTTTTTTTTTTTTTTTTTTCAAATCTAAACCAACAGTTCTTTACTTGGTTGAATTTCTGCTCTAGGATGCCTTCTCTCCTTCACAAATGATGAAGATTTCTCTCATGTTTAAGCTTTTTGTGCTTAAATGAAACATTTTACACAATTCTCATTTCATGTTTATTTGATACTGTTTGTTTTGTAGTTGGCTATGTATAATTTTAATGCTTACAGAACTTTTGGAAGTTACTAAGGACAGAAATCTTGCGTTTAATGATTGTATGGAAACAATCATTGTTTCCGTCTCAGTCTAGTTCAAGACTATTTTCTTTGTAACTGATCACTGACATCTGATCAAGATAGTAGTGATTAAACAATGATATAAACAGTTGTGATATGGTCTTGCTTTGCACTTTTCCTCCTTTGTACCAGCTTAAACATAAATGGTATGAAGGAACTAGATAGAAGGAGCAAACAGAGCAATAGTATACAAAGATATTGGTTTTTGATACAACTAGAACTACCATACCATTTCAAGGAGCCACTCAGACTATTTTGTCTTGTTTTAGCTGTTCCTATTTTAGGTTTAATGACTGCAATTAAACTTAAATACTTGTAAATTCATGTTTGTGTCTCTGTTAGATAAAAATATCCATTGAACTGAACAGTATTTTTCTTGTTAGTCATTGGCTTTGGGAAGAAATAGATAATATATATGAATCACAGAGAGTATCATTATGGCAAAAACAATTAAAACACAAATAGAAGGACTATGTAACATAATAAGCAATGAGTACATCACAAACAGTAGTTTCATTCATATAGCACCTTGCAAACTGTGTACTCAGATTTTCCCTTGGCATGCCTATGGCAAAGTAACCTGCACAAATAATTATCATAAGATAATCACTTAACCTTCTTTCATAAGATTTATTTCTTGATCCCTTAACATTATATCCTTTGTTTCCAAAATCCCGCAGACCTCACTTAATAATAAACGGAATTTCAATAGTGCTATCATGGCGGACAAAGTTGGTTTTTTTGTTGTTATTTGTTTGTTTCTTGTGGTCAGTTGTGAGACTTGAATTCAGGACCTGGGAGCTATCCCTGAGCTGCTTTGTGTTCAAAGCTAGCACTCCACCACTTGAATCACAGCACCACTTCCGGTTTTTGAGTGGTTATTTGGACATAAGAGTCTCACAGGAACTTTTCTGCCCTGGCTGGCTTTGAAAAAAATCTCAGCCTCCAGAGTAGCTAGGATTACAGGCCTGAGCCACCAGTGCCTGGCTCCAAGTTTTTATGAAGTTCTCTATTTGGTAGAAGAGTCTTGAATAAACGCGTTTATTCAAGCACACATATGCCTTCCCCATTACAAGCAGCCATCTGTAAATGTGTCTTAGAACTAAGTTAAACTAGGATAAAAATGGGATGCCATTCTATTTCACAGCTCCAAGGCAACCACTTTGTTATAGCTTTCTATGGCAGTAACAGGCTGCTTCTCAGAGAAGAGAGGGAACTGCTCACTATTCTGAATTTTGAAGCCCATCTAGGGCATCAAACTATCATTTAGCAAATTATTTAATAAACATATGAATGAAAACCTTGTAGTCTGGAAGTTAATAAGTATCTAGTACATTTTAGCATCATTTTCTATTAATAAAATTGTGGTAAGGATAATAACATTCAAGTACCTTTTCTGAATTCTATAGTAATTTATGTGTTTCTAATGATGGATGGATTTCTAAATCTGAGCAACTCATTTCATTCAAGGTAACAAATCTTTGTCATTGCAAAGTCAACACCCTGCAATGGTCATTGTTGCAAACTAGGATAGTCTGATGGCTAAAAAGAAGTTCCAGTCTATTTCATATGTTCAGAAGTAAAGACAGATGATTAGTTTCTATTGCTTTATCAAAAACTACATGAAATGTAATTGTGATTTGAATGATTTAAAAAGCTATTCATAGGGCTGGGAAGGTGGCTCAGTGGTAGAGCGCTTGCCTTGCATGCATGAAGCCCTGGGTTTGATTCCTCAGCACCACATAAGCAAAAAGAAAAAAGACGGAAGTGGCGCTGTGGCTCAAGTGGTAGAGCACTAGTTTTGAGCTGAAGAGCTGAGGGACAGTGCCCAGGCCCAGAGTTCAGGCCCCACGACAGGACACTCTCCTCCCGCAAAAAGCTATTCATACCAGAAGATGATTCTCGAACTGTCTATTATATTATGGAAAAAAGTCCTTGTGCTAAGAAAATAGCCTGTCTTAATCTCTCTAAGTGAAAGTTCAGGTACAATGGTGAGTCAGCATTGCTTAAAAACAAGGATGAAAAAAATGTTGGTAACTTAAGACTACATGGAGGGTATAAGCTACAGAAACTAGCAATTCTTTGTCTTTTTTTTTTTTTTTTAATTCCGGTCGTGGGTCCTGAACTCTGGGCCTGGGCACTGTCCCTCAGCTCTTCAGCTCAAGGCTAGCGCTCTACCACTTGAGCCACAGTGCCACTTCCGGCTTTTTTCTTTCTGCTTATGTGGTGCTGAGGAATCGAACCCAGGGCCTCAAGCATGCAAGGCAAGCGCTCTACCACTGAGCCACCTTCCCAGCCCAGAAACTAGCAATTCTTACACCTTGGTTTCACTGCAAATCTTAAGAAAAAAGAAAGAAAGAAGTTAGTTGATCAGATAAAGTAGACAAATGTCTGAACAACAGAGAAATGACAGAAGTGTGTTTAATTTTCTTTTATATATCAATCACACCAAGCCTTTTAGAACTACTGAAATTTAAAAAGAATAGTTTAGTCCATCTAACAAATGTGCCTGTGCTAAATTAGCCTACTAGGCAAGAGAAATAAATGTAAATTAAAAGGCAAGTTAAACATAGTTAAAATCTTCCAACCTCATCTATGTAAAAAGACTTAGTTCTTCCTTGTCTTTGAGTAATGAATAACTAGTGGGCAGTATAATATTAGATATCTGACCACAATCATTAAGGAGGAACAGTTTTTAAAGTGTGGTACTTAGACCTCCTGCACATGGTTACCTGGGAGAGGTGCAAAAGTACCCTCTCTGTAAATACAACCTAGAAATCTAGATTTGTGTAGAATCCCTAATCTAGAGTTAGTACTTCATTCTTTATGATCAAATTCTGCCTCTCTTTCTTCTCCTTTACCCCAATATTATGAATCTAAACATTTTGGAAATATTAATAAGGAAATACCTATTAGAGATCAATGTGAAGATATTAAGCTAACAAACATTTAGGTAACAGTGAGTTCACTGGGTGCTTCCTTGTGTATGTATGTGAAAGGAGGAGGGGAGAAGAAAGAGTTGTCAGTCATGCATTATAGATACAATTACTTAAAGCCAATTCCTTGACTATTAATAGAGAATAAGGTACAGGAAAGAATACTATCAAATTTCAACATTTAGAGTCAAGTTAGTGATGAAAAGGTAGCTGAGTAAGAATGATAAAAGAGTAGGAGGAAATCCAGGAACAAATAGTTTATTGAAGCTTTAGAATATTTATGGACTAATCGTCCATATGGAAAATTATTTTCATTGTGATATTTCCAGAAACCAAGATAAGAAATGATACTTCTGTGTGTTTCTATGAAAGATACTTTCTGATAAGACACATTAACAGATTTAAAATAATTACAACACTGAGACCATTGAGAAGCAGAACGATGGAAGAAGTAAGAAGATTACCACTCAAGAAAGAATAATAATAATAATAATACACAGCATCTTTACAATAAAATTTAAAAAAATAAAAGATTTAAAATAAATTAATTTCAAATGCCTAAAGCAATAACAGAGGGACTTAGGGAAAAGAAAATAAGCATATTTTAATCCAAGTGCAATATAGGAAAATATAGTCATTTGGGTATTTTAGTGTATGGGTTAAATAATAGACTAGGTAGCACTAAATAGAGAATTCATAATTGGACATTTTTAGATCATTATTCAGAAAGCAGATAAATTAAGAGATGGGGGAAGACAAAAAGCAGGCAACAGATTACAGTAGACTGAGATTGGCACTTTGACCCCCACATGTGCAAACAACAAAAGAAATCTTTGTCTAAGCATTACACTTCACGTTTCATATAAAAAATAATTTTAGAAGATCATAGATATGAAATGCCACCATAAAATTTTAGAAGGAAACATAGAAAACCTTGATTATTGAAGATTTAAAAAGTAGTTATGGATATTACATTAGATAACAATATACACAAAAAATAGTTGATGTACTAGACATCACACAAAAAAAATCTCCATAGAAGGTACTTACAAGAGAAGGAAAAGACTTG